TACTTGTTCTTAAGTGTGTTTTATGGGGTCTCTGCCGTTCTTGTTGATTTGATTTTTGATTCTGGTAATAGAAAAAATGGGTTTGATTTGATTATGTGTTTAAAGTGTTCTGCTTTGATGGGTCTGTTTTTGAATCACGAAAAGAACAGAAAAGACTTAGATTTGAGTGGATTGTCATTGCAATATTTAATGGGGTTGGCGTGATTTACTTGATTTTGCATAACTTGAATTTTGGGTTAGGATTTGCTATCTAAGATTTCAACATTCTCATTTTGGAATCTATACTTCTTGTTAGTGTAATGATATAACGCGTTTTTGCTCAAGGATTGGATTTTCTCTATGATAGGTAGTTATTGATTAATAAAGTAATATGGCCATGGTTAAACTTTTTGATGATGCCGTGATTTTATTGGATATTTGTTGCTATCTTGTCGCTTTGAGATGACAGGATGTTTGTGGCAAAAACATAGAGAAATCATTACGCTTCTGGTGTTGAGATGTTGGTTTTCAACTTTTTTTATGTTTTATGTTGTGTGTTATTGTACTGGGGGAGATTAGAATGATAATGGATGTTCTAATCTGTCCCCCACCTCCTCTGTTTAACTCTTGTTAGTTTATTTCAGAGAGTTTAATAAGTAGTTATGGCTGAATTTTCCTTGTCTGGTTTAATTAGGGTTATAGCTATATAGGATTTAGGTTCTGGAGCTGGAGCTTATCACTTTAGATGAATCTTTTTTTTCATTTTAAGAAAAGAATGCAATACTTGCACTGCTTTTTTTAATGGTTTATTATGATGTTCTTTGGTAAATGTTGTCTATTTTTTAGATGCTAAAAGTATGTGGAAGTTTTCTGCAGGTTTTATGAACTCTGCAACTTTCTAAGACAAGTGTTTCACTTAGGTATATTCCCCGTTCGACAAACCCTACAACAGAGAATGGCTGATGCCATATCAAGCTTTTGGGGTCCTGTCACGTCAACTACTGAGTGTTGTGAAAAGAATTACGCTTACTCCTCATATATTGCAGAATTCTACAACACCATATCAAATATCCCAAGCATTCTTTTGGCACTCATCGGTCTTGTAAATGCCTTAAGACAGCGGTTTGAGAAAAGATTTAGTGTTCTTCATATATCAAATATGATACTTGCTATTGGAAGTATGCTGTACCATGCAACCTTGCAGCATGTGTAAGTATCACTCTCAGTTATGGTTTATGAAGTTCTCAATTAATGTATAGTTGATTGATCTGATGCACTTTTTTGTCTCATGCCCATGATCATTATCATGTTATTTTTTTTTTTTTTTTCCCCTCTCTCTATCTTTGTTGAATGTAGGCTTTAGGTATGGATATAAGTGGATGTTTTCTTACTTGCATTTAGCAGAGATTCTCAAAGGATAGATTTGTTTTAGCATACAGTATTCTTTTTTTATTTGATTTATCTAAAGAAAATTTTGGGAATCCATTTCCAGGCAACAGCAGAGTGATGAAACTCCTATGGTATGGGAGATGCTGCTTTATATGTACATCTTGCACTCGCCTGATTGGCATTATCGCAGTACAATGCCCATTTTTCTCTTTATTTATGGTGCTCTTTTCGCAATTGTCCATTCAGTGGTCCGTTTTGGCATTGGCTTCAAGGTGCACTATGTTATTCTCTGCCTTCTTTGCATCCCCCGAATGTACAAGTACTACATTTACACACAAGACACCTCTGCCAAGCGGATTGCAAAGTGGTATGTGGCTACCCTTTTCTTAGGTGGTTTGTGTTGGTTCTTTGATCGTGCTTTCTGCAAGCAGATATCTGGTTGGCCAATCAACCCCCAAGGTCATGCCCTTTGGCACATCTTCATGGGTTTCAATTCCTACTTAGCAAACACATTTATGATGTTTTGTCGTGCTCAGCAACGAGGATGGACTCCAAAAATTGTTCATGTTATGGGCATTCTCCCCTATGTGAAGATTGAGAAACCTAAAACCCAATGATGAAACCAGGACTCAGTGAAGTATGTTTTTCCCTTCTCATAACTGGATTTAGGTAAGGAAAGTAAGCAGGTAAGGAAAGTAAGCAGGTCAGTCTAAAATCTAAATTTTGTCTTTCTGGAGAAGTCTTTAAAGAATGGTTGATTATTGATGCTGTTTGCTGGGATTTGTTTGAAATTTACTTTGTAAAAGTAGAACATGTACCATAAGTAACTGCTTGACGAGTCAGATTACATGGTTTGTTGATTGATGCTCAGTTTTCTCTTTTCCTCCGGAGAGGGCGGAAGGTACCATAAATTTTGAGCTTGACACTTGGGTTAATGATGAATTTTGATTTAGTTCCTTGAGTTATGATTAGATCTTGATTTCTCTTTCCCATGCTTAACTTTCTGTTTCCCCAACTGATTCAGATGAGTGCACTTCTATTTTGCCTATTATTTCATTCAGTGATATGATCCTTCTGTCCATTGCAAATTTCTTATTTTTTATAAGCGTCTATGGTGTATGATTTCTGCTGCCAATGTGGGAAAATTTTATCCAATAAAGAATACTCCCCATGCATTCGTAATAAGCATTTTTATGGATTTTCGTAATTTTGTACATAGTCATGACAAGTGTAATGGGTTAAATTGGGCTGTGGTTATGGCCTCATATATTATTGTTAATAATATCACATGGTTTTACTAATATTTTATCAGTTTTTAGGATTTTTTTTTGAAACAGTTAATTATGATGTCTATTTAAAAAGTTAATTTTAATTTATTAAATAATATTTAATTTATAAAACATCAATCAAAACTCTATGACCTAAATAATAATACATGTGAATCGACCTTTCAGGTCTAATGGTTCATCTTTAAATCTTAGTACTTGGGTTGGGTTGGTTAGGAGTTTCTCTCCAATTACTTGAATATTTGCACTTATCCTACGGGTTATAAGTACCTCTTAACCCATGGGTTAGACTTATTTCCTTCCCCTTCTCTCTAAAATTACCCTTGTTCAAAATAATAATAATAATAATAATAATAATAATAAAAAACAAATACACACATGTCCATAACCATAGCTGTAAAATTGAGGCAAAAGCCTACTTTTAGGCCTTTACTTTGTCAAGTTTGAAGATTTTATCCTTTCATTTTATAATAGGCCACTTTTAGCCCCTCACCTTACTAGATTTGTAGGTTTTAACCTCTCATCTTATATTATGACATTTTTAGCTCCTCACTTATTAAAATTGAAGAAAATAGTCCTCATTTTGTAAAGTTTTGTTAGTTCTGTTAGTTGATTGTTAACTCCATTAGTTGACTGTTAATTGTTAAAAACTTTATTTTAGCTAATAAAATTAACAAAACTAACTTTACAATATTTCGTTAATTCTGTTAATTAGATATTAGTTGACTGTTAGTTGATAAAAATCTACTTTTAGCTAACAGAGTTACCAGTCAGTATAAAGTGAGTTATTTTCTTCGATTTTAATAGGTGAGGGGCTAAATGTGTCATAGTATAAGATAAGGGGTTAAAACCTTCAAACTTGGTAAGGTGAGGAGCTAAAAATAGGTTTTTGCCTAAAATGGGGAGATGGTTATAATTTTGGTTGGACAGGACAATATCCTAACGAGAGCAAGAATGAACTAAAATGTTAGATGGTCAATTACTAGTATTGCAGCTTCTAATATCATGTAATGTTTCTTAAGTGTGTTTGGTTGAGCACTTTAAAGACAGTAGATAGTCAATATTCAATAATTGCTAATTATTATGATAAAAATGAAGTGTAATCTTCACTGCAAAGATAACATTTCACTTAAGTATTGATACAGTAATACTTGGTATTGAAGGTCTATACCTCCATTACTGATTAATTGTTTTACATGAACTACTAAAACAATATTCTAAATTATTTTTGTTTATGATTCAAATATTTTTATTCATCTTATAAGTTAAAACTGCTAAGTGCTAATTACTAATCTCAAAACCTCAACAAGTCATTGTTAGTAATGGTGCAATCAATGAAACCAGAAGGGGGGTTGTGATTCTGCAATAACCATTTTTTGATTTGATCATTCATCACCATGCAATATTCAACCAGCATAGAAATTCGAGAAGGAACAAGACATAACAGAGTTATCCTCCATTGAGGATTCCTGTGTATTAAATAGCTACAGACGCTATACAGTGTGCTCATAAAAATTTCCTCTGCCTAAACATTTGAGTGGGGAAAAGACAGCACTGCACCATGTATAAAACATTCTTCTCCTCCTCTTTTGTCAATGTGCCACCATGTTATATTAGAGAGTTCGAAGAAGAAGGAAGACAAGCCCCCCACAAATTTAGGCCTAAATGGTCTAAGAATGTCAAAGTCTTTCCTGCAAGATCTGCCCCAGCTCCATGAGTAGGGCGTGTTGCTCCTCGAAAGAAAGGTTTGTCAATATCTGCAGAGCAATGTCACAACCCACATAATTACTCTCTATTTTCTTGGGACCTCATTGAGAATAGACAATGCATAACAAGAGGGCCTTACTAAAAATTTACCTGGTCCAAGATCATTTCCACAGAGATGCTTTGTGGCACGATAAAAGATTGATGATAAATGTATGCAAAAACAGCCATCACCATCTACATTGATAGCAAAGTAGTCAGCAAAAGGTATATAGATATATATTTACACACCCATTTCCAATACCAGTCAAAAAGTTAAGGCCGGAAGTGTAACAAATCTCCAAAATCACCAGTTTTTAAGTTATTTCTACAACATACGTGAAAAAAGAAGAGATTTATATTTTAGTTAGGTTGAAATCAGTAGGTTATTGTCCTCTGTTAATAAGTCTCAAATCCTAACATAAAAGTAAATAGCAGTAGCAAAGCATGCTTGATTCTCTTAGATTATATTTTTGGAAATAGGACTGCTACAACTGTTAGAAGCCTATTAAACCCACAACTAATACGAAGTTTCTTAACCCACAGTCCTTTCCCTCCCTCAAACCCTGGCGCCCTAAAAAAAAAAAAAACACAATAGCTCACCTGGCAATCCATTCTATCTGTAATTCCACCATGCCCAGGGATACTGTCACCAAAATCCTGTGAGGAGGGTGAGTAATTAAAATTAGTTTGCACCACCATAGTGCATGTTATGAAGCAGGACCAACATCACTTGAGCATAGATAAGGTAATAGAGTGAAACCTTGATTTTAAAAGCTCTTTTAAAACCACTAGCAAAAAAGCCTCCAAACGGTGCTATTATTGATGCAAATAAACCAAGCCCTAAAGCATGCCACTGAACTGGCAGAACAGAGATCTCTTTCTGAGGAAACTGCAGAAGAGAATAACAAAAAATGGATCATTGTACTGAGCAACTGCTGAAATTATAAAGAATTTAATCATGAATATTTGCAACTCAAATGCATAACTTCAGGTCTGAGCGTGTGGCATGTGACACATTCATAGTTTTTTGATATTGGGAGGGGGGATTCAATGGGGGGGTGGGGGGGGGCGCATGCACCTTACCAATTGTGATACTAAAAATGGTTAGTCCTTAATACTATGACAAAACAATTGTAATCAAAGACTAGTCAAAATATTAATATTTATGCACAATTAACATTTCTCTTGACTGTCCACCAGTATTTGAACCTCTAATCTTCCCCTTTAACAACAAAGAAGGGGATTTGTTCCATCAAGACCAAGAGATAAGTGGTAGCCTGGTAGGTAAGGTAACTAGACAAACCTTCAAAGCAACATGGTTTAATTGGATAATAGATTTCTCATTGTCACCCAAATTTGTCACCCAAATTCTACATGGTGCTTCGCATGCCTACCAAGGCCCAAATACAGATGAAAAAGGGGAAAAAAGAAAAAAAGAAAAAAGGAAATTTTAATACTATATGATAACTTAGAAGTTAAAGTTCCCATAAATTCTTTACACACCATGTCCCTGCAGTTAATGAAGACATTTGCCAGATCACTGACAGAATAAAACTGTCTTAAAGGGTCAAGCTATAATTTATCTAGACATATTTTCAGGTTGTAAAAAGGAAGTTAAGGGAGGGATTTTCTAAGGGACAGGATAAGTGTGCAATAAATGCACCCTTTTATAATTAATGTATAAAGAAAATGATAAAAGTTAATTTAAATTTAATTAATTGATTAATTAAAATTGTCCCCGTGACAATAACACTAAAATAAAAGTTAATTTTTATTATTTTTTGTGTAAATTAAATGTAAAAAGTTGCATTTGTTGCACCTTATCCTGTGTGCCCAGCATAGGTTAGACAAACCCATTAAGTAAATCTAAATAATGAGTGATAACAACTAAATGCTGTCCTCTTGAACCGGGCCTTGTGGCCCAATGGTTCGCCCCCAAGCCTTAGTGCTTGGGTGAGATGGTGGTCGGAGCTTCGAGCTCCACCACCGTTGTGAACTCCACCAAACTGCGGCCTGATGGCTGCACGCCTCATTTAAGGGGGTGGAATGTTTACCCAGTCTGAGAACCAACTGCTAACAATTAACTCACTACCTTCCTAACCATTACCCTTGTCAAAAAAAAAAAAAAATGCTGTCCTCTTAATTCAAGCACAGGAAACTGAACATGAATGAATGTAATAAAACCAATAAAAAATCAGATCCAATCAAACAAATTACGTTAGTGAAATAAAAGTCCAATTTTATATCAGCTTACCCACAGAGGAACCCATCCTGGTAAAGTAAAATGCTCTGGCTTAAACAATGGACCAGGATCGCAGTGCAGCCAACCAGTGGACAGATCCTGTAATTTTGTTACTCTCACACCATTAGTTTCCTTTTTAAAAAAATTAAGTATGCCTTTTGAGACATTGGTGAATATGCTTTAATTAAATAAATACCTTTCTTGGACAGGTTAGCCACCGGTAACGACCCAGGATATTTGCAAGCTACATAAACAGAAATCAGATCCAATTTTACAAATACGCACCACCATAAAAGCCTATATATGTGCAGAGCAAAAACACATCAAAGCAACTTTCTTATACTAACAAGGTGTCATAAACTGGTCTAGACTTGTAAATATCACTTTTGACAAAGCGCTATTACCTATCACAATTAAAATATTAATAACAAATAAAGAAAATATGAGTTTCTCATGAAGCAGATAAATAAACCAAGTAGGAATAACAACATTTCCATTTAATTCTTCAATCTGTGCTGTGCAGGAGCAGAAAGGATAAGTCTTAAACTAGTTGGAGTCGCCTCCAAAATTGAAGAAATTATTCCTCACCACAAATGCAGAGATGATGGTTGTGACAGATGCTCCAATGAATCCCTCCCATGTTTTCTTTGGGGATAATTTGATAAGCGGGGTTCTTCCAAAGAAAAAGCCAAAGATATAAGCAAAAATGTCATTAATGACAATAAGTGATGCTGGAAGAAGAAACCTGCAAAAGTTAGAAAATGATAAGATAAGAGTTCCTTAAGCTAGGAAAGAAATTTGTATCAGATAACCTATCTTAATGCCAAGGTGTTTTCATTTCCCTAAAAGAGCCCCAGTTTTTGAATGACTTTAAACCTTCCCAGTTTTTATCCTCCCAAAATGACTTCCAAAGAATAGTTAGAGAAAAATGTGTTTTAACTTTTACATCAGCATTACAAAAAAGAAGAGATAAAGGAGGTAAGAAAAGGGAAGAGAGGGCGGGTGGGGTGAGAAACAAATGCTATCTAAACAAACAGAAGGGGGAAAAAAAAAGAGAGAAGAAGAAGAAGAAGAAAGAAAAGGCACTCCCACTTTAGCCTCATTCGTATCAGGCATATTTCAGTATTGTAAATAAGTTACAGAACAAGAAAACTCAAAAGAAACCCAACCCACAAAAAATAAAAAATAAAAAAACCACCTTTTCTGTTGGCATAGAGGCTAGTAGTTTAAAAATATAATTGCATAAAGTTCATCGATAAGACAACATTCCCTTGAAAGATTAAGAATAATTACCAAAAAATTCCTTCAAAAATATTGGCAACAGTGAATGATGACTGAGTAAACACCACGATCAGAATCATATGTGTCCATGCATACTGGCCAAATTGATACTTATACATCTTCTTCTTCAATGTAAGAATGAACCACATAAAACCTGAGCCCCAGAACAAAGAGTACCAAGTAAGGACAAAAGTAGCCATTTGTCAAAAAAAATGTGGCATGCAGAACCAACCTGCAATATACAAAAAGTAGCAGGCGACCATATGGTACTTGATAAGGCTGCTCACAAGCTGATATAAAAATTTGTCTGAAGTCACAGTATTGACAAGCCGTTGACTGAGGAGACGACCATACACAAATAGCATTGCAGTGAAGAAGAAGTACCTATGCATAGAAAAGATGAATGAATTCAAAATCCAGTAAATCCAGTATATGGTACTAAGATTTCTAAAAATATCTCTGTGCTGAATTTAAAATTATTAGAAGCAGATGACCATTAAGATGAGTACTTTCCATGGCATAAAGAAGTCAGAGTTTAAGTTCAGCAATAAAGCTAGTATTCTTACCAATTTAATTGCCTAAATCCAGGAAGATGCCTATCTTCATGTGATTTTCTAAGTAGATTGAACAGCTCTCTGGCCATAAATATTTGGATGACCACCACCATGGCTGTAATATAGAGATGACCCATGTAGACTATAAATGCAAATCCCCCAATCATCCAAAGAGTTGAGTATGCACGGATCAACATGGACCTGTATTTGTTATGATCATCAACAAGTAAAGGGCTTCCATTTGATTTGCTAGCCTCTGGAATAACCTGAAAGCAAGTATGAATTTAAAATGATGAAAGAAAAGAGAAGAAAAGAAAACAGAGTTTCCATCACTATTAGAAGAAGCCATAAACAATAAAAAATTTCCATCACTATTAGCCTTTGGTATACTAATGTATCAATTAAAAATTTCTTAATTTCTTTTCTTAACAGCAAACCAAGAATAGTTTCTCAAATAGAAATTAATTTCTGCAAAAATTTCCTTCTATGGCACCAACGTCACAAATCCCATGACCACAAGCAAGGAAGCAATGGAAAGAACAGAAAGCCATAAACAATTAAATGTTAGTTTTCTCACTCAATATGTATTATTACTGTACAACTTTATAATGTCAGCCAGCATTGAAAGAAAGAACATATTTATGCAAAACCAATTTAGATTACTTTGTCATATGGTTACAAGAATAGGGATCCAACCTCAGTAGACCGTCTACGATTCCGAATCCGAGCAGAAGGAGTTGATGGAGCAGAGGTATTATTATCCCTTTGCATGGCTGTTAAGCTTTAGCTTTCACTCTCAGACTCACTATTACATATATTTGTGCTGCACAAAAAGTTTCCACCTATAGCACCAAAAAATACCAACTCTTAATGTCACCATAAGTAGCAAAACATAACAAGAAACATTAAGAAATCAGTTAAGCAAGGAGATACATTGCCAAAGGTGGTCTGGATCATATTAAACTACAACTTCTCCACATGATAACTATGCACAGCTTAATGAATAAAGGCACATAAACCAACAACACACAAAATCCACTTGACTTGATAAGATCAAGTCTTTACAACTTCTAGCTAGGCAAAAACATTCAAAATCCAATCTATGGAAGGGTTAAAAACAAAAAATCAAAAGTATGAAGCTAACAATTTGTAAAACATAACTTCAATCTTCTTGGGAACAAAAATAACTCGAACAGAAAAGGGTAAAAGAAAAAACCAGTTTTGGGGACCCAGGAACCACTCATTAATTAGAGAACAAACTCAAGAACCCATTAAGCTTCATCACAGGAAAGTTCCATTGGCAAAATTTAAAACTTCTAATTCCCCTCAAGGATACTAACCTTAAAGAATGAAACTTACAGTGAATCAGGCAGAGAAACAATAGTCCAAAAAAACTTAATCAAGCAGCAAAAACCCAGAAACAAAAACTTAACATTGAAACCCACACAAAAATGAAATAAAGTCTATAACTTGAATTGAACATGAAAACAATAACCCCACAACCAAATCTGAATCGAGGAGATAAGACTATGAACCCCAATCAATATAAAACAACAAAAATACCCATTAACATGATTTATGGGAAGGAGGGAATTTGGAAACCTGGGTTCAGGTTACGTTGAGTCACAGAGTGATAGTGAAGAAGAGAAATCGCTACAACTCAAATAGAGGAGAGAATCCGAATAACGGAGGCTGTGGAATCGACGCAAACGAAAAAGCAAAAGCCGAAAAAAACAAAAAACAGAGACTAAGATTTTTTTAATTAAAAATTAAAAATTATTTTCATTTTAAAAAGAAGTCCTTCATTAATCGTCACTAATTCTCATGGAAAATTTTCCCGAAAAAGGAACGCTAAGCAAAAATAATCACTTTTCTATTTTGAATAATTTCAAAGTTTATCCCTTAATTTTATTTTGTTTTCCTCATTCAGCTTTTGAAGTTATTTTTGTACCAATTAAATCTTTTTATTACTCACATATTGTATTCAATATGGTTGAGTTGATAATAATTTAAGTAATTTGATGAAATTTTTCTTTGTAAATGAGAAGTTTTTGTTTGGATACGAACCATGAATACACAAGTAAAATAAATTAGAAAATAAAAGAAGATTATCTTATTATGAAACTTAGAATCAAAATATTCACTACCAAAAAATCCACATTTATTGACTAAATTATTGATCATTAAATCTTTATTTTTCGTTACAAATTATTATTAGTGATAAAATTTAAATCGTTAGTAAAACCTTTGTCACTAATGCTCTT